AAAAAAAAAAAAAAGGGTTTGGTTGTAGTCCTGCAATGGTGGAAAGCCACAGGAAGATTTTAAGCAAATCAGATTTGTGTTTTATGCATTTGTCATTAGATGAATGGCTTGGTTGGAGTAAGTAACAATATTTATGTCAGATGAATTTATCATTTTCTCTGCCAATCCATTACCCCATCTCTTTGGTCTGTCAGTCAATACGATAATCAAATGTTAAGTTAGATGAGGAGAAAGAGCTTTCAAGTCTATTACAGTGATTAATATTAGGAGAAAAATCATTGTTTCTGTTACACATATTGACACTCTTGAGGCTATTCTTCCAAAAGGCGAGGATAATTAAAATGGGTTAAGAGCAATAGTTCTCAAACTTATCAGATTATAACAGACTTTAAAAAGTATGGTGTAGGGGGCTGGCCCTGTGTTTTAGCGGTTAAGTGCGCGCGCTCCACTACTGGCGGCCCGGGTTTGGATCCCGGACGTGCACCAGCGCACCGCTTGTCCAGCCGTGCTGAGGCCGCGTCCCACATACAGCAACTAGAAGGATGTGCAACTATGACATACAACTATCCACCGGGGCCTTGGGGAGAAAAAGGGAAAAAAAAAAGGAGGAGGATTGGCAATAGATGTTAGCTCAGGGCCAGTCTTCCTCAGCAAAAAGAGGAGGATAGGCATGGATGTTAGCTCAGGGCTGATCTTTCTCACAAAAAATAAAATAAAATAAAACAAAAATTAAAAGTATGGTGTATTGACAGAACACCAACAGGAACTCCTGAGATACACTACATACTTGGACCAAAGTAGGCACACAGAAAAATGGTCTCAGATTAATGGCTACAAAACTTGAATTATAGAATAGAACAGGAAAAAATTAGAAAAATTAAATCACTTTGTTTTACAAAAATATATCACAAATGTACGTTGAAATAAGACAAAATACTTGGCAGTAATGTGTTTCATAATCATAAAATCATCAAATAAATTACGTACATCCTTGCAACAGTGGGCTCAGGCATTAGTTGCATGGGTCACATGTCAGGTATCAAGTGAGTTCTCTCAATAGACTGCCTGATTTTCCCATTTTTTAAGTGGGAGATTATGTCTTAAGAAAACTGAGTAAATATGTTTGGAATTTTTCTTATATACTGTAAAAAAGAAATTTAAGAGAAAAATATTCCCAGCATTGAAATCGTCCCATCTACTCTACGAGCATAGTTTGAGAAATGATCATCTGGAAAATAATGCTTGGGTTGTCCCTATATCTAATTTCATGTTTCTTTCTTGATTGTCTTCATGCTGATTTTAAACTGGAACTCTGAGCTGAGCTGGAGGATCAGAACATTTTAATTATAACCTAAAAGGGCATCAGTGCAACTGAATCACCAATTGGGGAGTGGGTGGGGAAGAAAGGAGATAAAGATAGTACATAGCCTTCAAGCACATACTGCAGGTTCCTAAACCCTTGGCTGCCTTAAAATGTGGAAAATTTTTCAGAGCCTCAGCTATCCTGTTGGCTGTTTGCCTGGCTTTTGTTAACCAATACCTAAGAACTATTTGAACTTCAGCTTCTTACAAAAGGACATTAATGCTGGGGTAAACTTGCCTGAAATAGAATATTTTGTCAAGGTTGTGTTCTTCCCTTTCTCCTCTTGTGAACGAATTTGTGCTTTCCTTTAATGAAATGTTTGAGCAAAATCTCACATGCTCTCTCCTGGCTGTTCCTGCAGTGAAGTCATGTGGGTGGGCATGTGCAATGATGTCATGATTGGCATTAAGTTTACCCTGCAGGTTCAAGATGACCAAATAAGAGGTGAGAGAAGAACATCCCGGGATGGATGCACCTACCAATTAATTAGCAAGAATTGAAGAGCTTTTTATGGTCATGCACAGCTTTCAGAAAATTTATTTCATGTCATTAAATGAAATAATGCCTGTAAGGTGATCATTCCAATACCTGGCACATAGTAAACACTCAGTCAGTGTTGACTGTTATTATACTGGTTTGTTTTATACCATGTCAGAATTCCTGTAATGAAAAGCGAGTAGTGGAAAAACACGACCATGCTGAAATTCAGGTGCAGTCAGCCAACAACTTAATCTCCATTGTAAATGTATTCAGTACATTAGACATCCTTATATAAACACTCAGCATCACCCATAAAATTCCTGACATCTGAATGATAGACTATTACATGAAGAGTGCATATTGGGTCATCTGTTGACCCTTCACGATTTTGAGTGTGAAGGGGAGGATACCAGGAAGCCCTAGGGGCCAGTAGAACGGAGAGGGCGCATATTCTGCATCCAAGAGTTCAACCAACCTTGGATTGAAAGGCTTACTTTGCGTCTGGACTGACCGTGTACAGACTTTTTGTCTTGTCATTATTCTCTGAACAATATAGTATAACAACTGTATACATAGCATTTACATTGTATTAGGTATTATAAGTAACCTAGAGATGATTTAAAGTATATGGGAGGATGTGCATAGGTTATATGCAAATACTACACCATTTTATATAAGGGACTTGATCATCTTCGGATTTTGGTATCTGCGGGCAGTCCTGGAACCAATCCCTGCGGGTACCGAGGGATGACTGTGCACCTATACGTAAGATCTGCCATCGTGTTAAAACGTTACCATTTTGCAACTCGGATTAAAAAGTGAAACTAACCTTGACAATAATACTGGAGATTGGTTTTAGGTAAATTTGTTTTATAGCTATCAAAAGGTCTTCTGTACTGGGAAGCTTGTTTCAGCAGATGTATTTGGTTGGGAAATCAGGAATTAGGAAATTAAAAGAATAAGAATAGTTCCTATATGTAAAGACTTTATCTTGCATTGGAGTGAGTTATAGTTATATGGTGAGAAGCTTTGCTTTCCCTGACAGAGGGTTTTGTTTTGCCTTTTTTGTGTGTGAGGAGGTTATGGTTTAGAAGTCCTTTTATAAAGGGAGATGATGCACGCTTTTGGCAGTTGAGTGCAGTCTGTTTCTCCCGTTACTCTGTAATTGAGAGGCATGTTAATATCCTCATAAAAGACATTTTGCTGCCTCTTGTTTAAATGCTCAGCTGTTCTGGGCCCTGTTATTTCCCCCAGGCAGCCAGTGACTGACTGGAGTCAGCAGGTTTTTATGACATTAACAGCAGTTTGCTCTTTTATTTTTAATGTGATTCTTAATCCCCTCTTTTTTTTGTAGGTTTCTGCAACTGAGAATAGCCTGGCAGTCCATCCCACCCCTGCTGAAGATGACTCCCGTAAGCATTTGTTCTTAGATCTGCAGGATGAGGTGGTTGTTCTCTATCTGGTATTTGGTTTGAGAGGTGTCACCATTGCTGTCAGTGCTGGGAAAGTAACATATGAAATCCAATAATTTAGCTGATCACATCTTTCACTTGGTGTTAAGAACTGATGCTTGAATACCCTTCACACATTTCATGGCTTAGGGAGAAGTTAAATTCAATTAAATATGATTAACTTGGGGCAAACCAAATATTTGTGATGCTTCTCTCATTGAACTTATCCTACCTTTTGTACCAAACCTTTTCAGGGTTAAAGCTATAACAACTAATTTTGAAGTTTCAGTTTAATAGAAGTTTGGCCAAGAAAGATTTTATTCGTTTACAAGGAGAAAGAATTTGAGTAAACTTTTAAAAATATCTTTTCCCTACTTATCTAAATGTGTACCATAGCTCACCCTCTATCTGTATTCTGGAGATTTTCTCGTTGGTGCTGAATTTGATCACCTTTTCATTCTATTTTGGAGTCATTTTGAGCTTCACTTTTCCCAAAGACAAAAACTTTTGGTTTTTTCTTTACTGTGTCCACTTTTGATTCTAATTTTTGATGTATTATTTTTTAAACTGTATATGGATTTCTAGCTTCTCCCCAGGTTATTAGTTTGCTGGACACTGAATATTCAGCAACAAAAGTAGAAGTATGAGTGAAACAGATCTCTAGTCAACCCTCCCTTAAAATTTCACAGAAAAACTCTTGCTACTTGAATCCAGGAACATTCCTTTTGCAATCATTTTGCTTGGACTAGAAATTTTTCTGAGTTTTGACTAGGTTTGCAAAACAGATTTTTGAAAAATAAGCCTTAATCTTTTAGTACTTTGTTGACTTAACTCTAGATTTTAAGGAATTCTTGGTAGCTGTGTAAATGACTTTTCTTTGCTTTTTCTGCATTTTCCACACAGTGAATATATTGGCAGGAAATTAACTTATGTGGGTGACACGTCAATGATTGTGAAAAAAACTTCATGGAGGCTTTTTCCATAATATTCATCCATGGATATCTGCTATGGGACTGACCAAAAAGACAGTGTCAAATTACACACACACAGCCGCATGCACAAGATATGAAATTTCTGCCATCACCTTCCCCCGTTTTCCCATCTTCAGTTGAAACACCCTAGAAGGAGTTATTGGGAGTGCTAACTACCAAAAAGTCATCAAAGTCTATAAACAGCCTTTAAAAATGGCAAATGCTACAGGGCAGAAAGTTCCTTATATAAGGTGGTTTGGATTCCCACTGTGTGTGGCAAAGGGAGAGAAAGCCTCCAAGCTGAGACCCCGATCTGTGAGAGAACCTAAGAGCATAGCTTTTGGCATTAGAATATTCTTCAACAGAAAAGCAGTGTTTTTCTTGGTGTTGAAAGGACCTCTCATTAGTGGAAGTGCCTAAACTTTGTTTTGGGGAGGAACCTTTTCTGAAACTTCCCACGAGGTACAATAAAATGTCTTCCTTTTGTATCTCAAGCAGGTAACTCCCAGGTTAAGAGGGAGGTGCAGCAGCCTGCCCATCATCCCAAGCCACTAAGTCCAGATGCCAGAGCCTCCAGCCTTTCTGAAAGTTCTCCTCCTAAAGCAGTGAAGGTATGATGGCAATTTCTCACTGAGCCTTTAGACATCGGTTTACTAGTAGAGCTCACTGCACCTTTTATCATTATGTTCATTATAACCTGTTTTTGCTTTCCTGTGGACGAAGATGCCAAATAAGGGCACACTTAAGCCAGTCACTTTCCCTGAAAATCTTGCTGCTTCTGCTCAGAGAAAACTGATGAAAGTTTTAAGCATACCCGAAGTTAAAGAAAATAACCTGACTTTTTTTTTAAATCCAAGTTTATAAATCTGTGAATGAGTCAAAGCCCACAAAATGGGAAATACGAGAAATCTGTTTAACTAAAATCAGCCCATTGGACGGGAATGTGCAATGTCAACTTAAAGAAAGTGGCTCCCTGGTCTGAGGAACTTGACCATAATGTGATTGGTGGTTAGCATATTTAAAGAAAGAATGTGTACATTCCAATGAGGGTTGGCCAGCCCACTTGCTATAAAAATGGACATTCAAGTAACACTTATTCTAGGGTATAATATTAGATGTTTGGGAATGTACAAAATTCTTATACCCTAAGAAAATTTTACTAAGCTACTCAATCCATGGTCTCCTTTTATTCACCAATTTTTAAAAACAGTCTTTCCCCTTTCTATGAACAAATATATATTCAAATAAAAATACACACAAAGGTAAAAAAATTCAACACCTATTTTAGGCTTATTACCTGACTTGTTTTAATTGAATGCTTTGCTAATGCTGTGCTAATTTACCCATTTGGATTAATAACTAAACATACCCACACTTCTTTAGTGTCTTTTTCCTCTGGTGCTCTCTTAAGTAGCCAGGTTTTGTTTCAAAAGTTTTAACATTTGAGAGAAACTCAATAGATAGAATGAGTTTTAGGGTGGTTTGTACTGCCCCAGTCTCATGTACACATCTGCCTTGCTTATATCTCTCAACTGTGGGCATGATTGGTCCCTTGATGAAAGTTCTGGTGCACAAAAAGGGTAAAGAGAAGAGGACATAGGTTAGAGTTCAGAACAAAAGAAGGAAAGGGGAGAATCCAGGATTTAAGGATGGATTTTAAAAAAGGGGAGGGGTGAAGAAGGTAACCATGAAAATTATAAAGGAAGCAGAGATTTATGAGAAGAGTAAGGTTTATTGAAAAAGAACAAAAGGTGAAGGAAGTAGCAAGAGAAAGCAAGTAAAGGCAGAAAAAACTGAGTTACCATGATTGAATCTGCACATGTAGTCAACATGGCTCTCTCTTCTGGCCTTCAAGGTCTGCTCATGCTGTCATCAGTACTTTTTTTCCAGTATTTGGAGTCCAACAAAGTAGCAAATGCCACGGGGTTAATTTCCTCTCCAACAGCAACTCTGCCCAGATATGAGTCCTTGGGTTGTGGTTCTGGATCAAGAATAGCTAGCAATCTGACTTGGCCGTGGATTCTGTATGACTGAGGGACTAGGGAAATGCTGTGACTAATCTAAGAACTAAAATCTATTCTTGAGTATATTTGAATTCCCAACCCAGTCTTGCTTCCCTCCCTCAACTGTTAGGCCAGACCTCCCAGTAGTGGCTTGGACCTTTGAGATCTCTCCTGATTCAAACTCCAGGGTCTGAGCTGGTGAGCAATGTGCGAAGGAGTGCACCTCACTTAGGTCTTCCTGGCATACCAGGGAGAGGAGATGGAGATAAAGCTCCCTCTGCACCTGCCCCAGACCCATGCCTGCTTCTTTGGCCCTGGTCACTCAGCAGTAGAATGCAGTCAGGCTTGTTTTCACCAGACATACAGCTCAGGTTTTGAACACTGTATAAAAACTGGAATTGGGGCCGGCCCCGTGGCTTAGCGGTTAAGTGCGCGCGCTCCGCTACTGGCGGCCTGGGTTTGGATCCCTGGCATGCACCAACACACCACTTTTCCGGCCATGCTAAGGCAGCGTCCCACATACAGCAACTAGAGGGATGTGCAAATATGACATACAACTATCTACTAGGGCTTTGGGGGGAAAAAAAA